CTTTGTAATTTCAATGAATGCCTGAAAACCAATAATACCAATAAATCATAACTGTTTGCAGAAAATGCGCTCGCTGAACTCATTAATCATTAAACAGCTGAACTGTATTGGCAACCCTGAACTATTTTATTATCTTTTTCTTCTTTCTTCACTTTGTTTTCGCGCGATTTAAATATCTCGCCACACCAAATTCAATTATTTCTCACCTCTTGAGTAAACAGTTATTTTTTTCTCAGTGCGAAAAAAAAGAGTTTTTGATTGGCAATCGACAAAAGTAAATCGCAAAGTCAACGGAAATATGCGTAAAACTACAAAACGGCGAACAGGTCACTAACCCAAAGCAAATATCAAAGCTACAAAAACAGAAACGAGAAGTGAATTTAGCGCTTCGCCATTCATTGGGAGCAGAATGAGCTTAACGGCTCAACGAAAAGGCGGCAATAACGCAAAAGCGGTCGCGTAATGCGTGCTATGGAGCGACAATTGATAGTGGTAACACGGCGTTAGTCACACAACTGTTATAGTATACAAATATATAGTAGTGTATGTAGTTTTGTAGCAAAGGGTGCGTGCGGGCAAGCGGTCGGCTTCATTTTAATAAGCCACCAGCTGATTGTTTACCACATGTAATTAAGGCAATGCCGCCAAACGAAGCATTTAGATCACAGCTTTTAATTAATCGGCGTAATGAATTGCAAGTACTTCAGTTGTTGGCAACAGTTAAAATGATGGCATATCAGCAGCAAACGAATGAATACAATACAAAACAAAAACAAGTTAAAACGTTCACTTCGCTGCACCGAAGCTATAATACCCTTCACAAGTGCATTTCCTGTGTTATAATTGATGGACACTTCATGGAATATTAGTGGGAAACCAAACAACGTGTAAAGAGTGAAAATTCAACATAGCACAACTTGAGACTTAAAACTCCAACTTGAGGAAGATCTGTAAAGGAAAAGGTCAAATTTAAAATAAGTTATGGTATAACCGAAAAATAGTAAACAGGATCAAAAAGCACGTGTGCCAACTACTGCTGCAATATTAAGGGTTGATTTTTCGATAGCTCATTAACGATTTATTCATTGTAATGCCTTTCACAGATTTAGTGATGTTACAGATGTATGTTTGTATCTTCAACATATTGTCACCGTTAATTGATTTATGGATATGGGTCCGCACTAAATAAATCTAATATTTTTACCAACTGAAATGGGTCTAATTGTATGTTGCATAAACTTTGTTAGCGACCTACATAAATTTCATCTCTCGCTTACGAGCCGTTTTGCGTCGCAAAATCAATTCCAAAACGGTAGTAAATTTTCCACAGTTGTTAGAAAAACAAAGACTAGCAAATACACCTCAATTTGAGCTGTCAATCAATTTGTCAAAGACAGCAGATTTATAAAGTTGAAGATTGTGTTTGGTTCCTTTTGCATATATTTAACTACAAACACAGTTTTTATATACATATAAATAAATATATAATAGGTTACACATAAATAACGGTGCCAGAAAATTTGCATATTAGATATACTAACAAATTTTCAAACATTTTAAAACTAAATCTGAAATCATAGTAACATTTTTATCCATTCTTTATTTCATTTCTTTGATAAACAACGACAAGCTCTGACTAATTTATTTATATATTTACATATGTACATGGATGTGGAGTACTATGTTTGGTAGAATTGAAATTAAGACCACACATTAGTTTCTTTAAATCGTCATCATTTGGAAGGCATCGTGTGATAAGGCACCTCTGACGCTTTTGCTGGTATCCTTCCTCTTGTCAATATATCTCTGGTGCCACTTGGCTAGAAAATTTTTAATAGTTTAGGGTATTTTTCGTATAGTTATACAATATATCTCGATTGTGAGTCAAACAGAGTTTTAAACACAATTTGTTAACACAAATATGATTTCGAGTCTGGTGACACCTGTCGGCAAGTTTTTTGCCCATAACCTTCTCCTAAATGCAAACAATAAGTCGACGGAATTTAATACTGATCAGTTGAGCGATTCGCTAGCCCCCCAATATTCGTAATACTCACACGGTAAAAAAAAATTCTACATATCGAATGTTGTAGGTATGTTATTAAAACTTGAAAAGAAATAAATAATTACATTTATTTAATTGTAAACACACCTTAATAAGCTTCTTACCAACAGCTGTACTGCACGTAGTTTCACAGAATACTTTTTAAATAAATTTAATAAACTGCTTAGCTATATAAAAACTTGCATTTTCCCTCACTATTTCGCTAAGCGAATGAAAAGAATTTTTTCACTTTTTCGCATTTTAATTAAGAACTTAATTTTGTAATTCAATATAAATTTGGTTTTTTTAATCAAAAAATATGAATAGATACTTATCAAGGTAGAGGAGAGCGCAAAAAACGTTAAAAGCAAATATATAAATTCGTTCACGTACACATGTGACTCACTATGAATCGTTGAATTTTCACCTATTTTATACACAATTCACTTAGTCTAAGAAATAAAGTGCTTACAGTACAGTGCAAATAGTAAAACAACTGGCAAATATGTAACATTGCACAGTGGTGCAGTGTTTAAAAAAGTACAAAAGAGTTAGAAAAAATTTCCAAATTATTACTTAAAAAACTTGCTTAAAATTTTTTTGTGCTGCAGCTACAATACATTGGTGAATTTACGAATTACATGAAAATATAGTAAAAACCTTCAAATTTACTCAAAATAAAATCAAGTATGTGAATATTAAACCTATGCAAATTTGTCCCACTAAAAATTATTTAAATTTACTTTTACCAATTTTCATCAAGCCGATTAATGGAATTACAAGCAAACCGCTTACTTTAACTAATATTATATATTCAAATTCAATTCATCACTTATAACCGAATACAATCGTTATACTATTTACCATTTTTTCTATGAAACGATCAAAGCTCGGAAAGCATTCGGGACTTCTAGGGATTGTTTTTTTAATATTTCACTCATATCCATATTCTGCGAAGCATAAGTGCAAACTTCCTAGACATAGAAAAGGTTTTCAAAATCTGTCACATAATTAATAGAATGACATATTCACGACATCAAAACGCGATGAAACGATCTACCTGGGTGCCAAACTGTAAAAGTCATGTGTAAAACGGTAGATCGGCAATACACAAAGTTTTTACTGGCACTCGATGGAAGGGACTGTAGAAACATGATTGGAATACTCACCGGGCACAGTCGGGTGGCGGCCAACGTCTGTAGCGTGGAGTTGACAAATTGAGAAGACTGCCGGAAATGTCAGGAGCAAGGAACCAGTAAAACAATGAAGTATCTCGCTTGAACTTGTCCCACGGTATGAGACATCGGTATGAGGTGTTGATAGTGTGGCCAAATAGCCCCTTGAAATTCGCCTGAAGCGCAGGCAACCTAAATGATGACTACTCCCTATGGACTTTGTACCGAAACTCCATCTGGTATCGCAAAGGACCGAAAGTGGTCTATATACGGCTCATTAATCTACCAGACTAATTTAACCTAACCTAAACTTGTGTTGACATTGACAAGTATCTTCATTAGAGACGTTGAAAATATCGCCGATTTTTCAAGCAGAATTTCTATCATATTTGGTGTCATCGTAAACAGACTTGGTTTGACAAATTTATCTGGGATTCAAAAAGATATTCGATTTTTTCGTTTGTTTTTAACATTCAAATACAAAAGTTAAGAACACTTTTCAAACCGCTCTTACAACGTTTGAAATTATTCTGAGCAGTTGTTAAACTACAACATTTTGGACCAATTTTTAGTGCCCTTAACAAATAGCTGACAAAGCCAAACCAATTGTCATGCCTCAATCAAATTTCTCTCGAAAGTCAGATTGTGACAAGATGGTATAAAATGGTATTTCAATTACAGTGAAGCTTTGAAGGTACGGTTTTTATAACGTTTTTTTTATCAATGCACCTTATATTAAAACTTCAAAACAGACAAATTTTCTTAAAAGGCTTGCTTGCATTACCATTAATATATTTTTATTATTTACAAAAAATTTTGAAAATCGTTTTTCAAACATACAAACTAGAATCTAATAGTTCAAAACCAATTCTTTGGTTGTCTACTGTTTCTAATATTCAAAATCAATTGCAATTTTTACCGCTAATTAAAATGAAATACCGAAAAGCACGCTTGCAACGAAATAAACTTTTCAAGAGCTTACAGTTAATTAAATGCTACATAAAGAACGCAAGGAAGAAAAAATACCAAATAAATTTGTGCAAAGAAAATTCATGTGAAAGAGTACGAAAGAAAAAAGTAACTCGAAAGCCAACTTACTGCCATGAGAAACTGCCAGTGATGCCGTCTTTGAGGCGATCGCGCAGTGAGCGCTGCCTGCTCGGGCCGGGACCGGTGAGTGGTGGCAGCGTGGCATTCTCGCCATTGCCGTTACCCTCATCGATGGCGGTGCTGATGTTCGAGGTGGAGCTGGACATGGGTGCGCCGCCGCCGCCAGCACCACCATCGCTGCCACTGACCGCGCCGACCGCGCCAGCAGTACTAACGGCGTGCGCCACCTGTTGTTGTTGCTCTACATGCTCCATTATGGGCGGCTGCTGCTGTGTTGTTGCTATTTGCTGTAAGCTTTGTGGCAGTTGCTGCTGCTGTTGTTGTTGTTGTTGCAGATGTTGATTATGCCGCCGTCGTATGCTGTGGCGTGGCGAGTTTTCACGCGACATTTTGTTGTTGTAGGTTGTTCGTGTGTGTAAGTGGTATTTTTTTTGGTGGTTTGAGGAAATTCGTTAAATTTTTAGAAGAAATTAATTATTACAGGGTGTGTTTAATTATTATTTTTGTTGAGTGTTATATTAATTTCTAGTTGATTGTTGGAATCGTATGCGAAATACGCAAAATGCAATGCGTAAATAACGGTATTTGCGTTTATTTTTCGATTATTTATTTGTGTAGCATAAAGTTTATAATGAAAACTCAATTTGCACGCAAATTTTATTTAATTTTAGGTTATGTTGAAGCAGTAAAAACTCGTAGCAAATAAAAGTGGTTGCACATTCAAGCATCTGTGGCGGTCTCTACTGCAATTTATTTAAGGTATTTATATTTTTTCTATTTCTTTCTTTGCATTTCTAAAACAAATCACATTCGGATGCACATTCAATTTAAATTAAAGTAATTAAAAATTTTGAAAATGTTAAAAATTGTTTAGTTTGAGGAGAGCGAGTGGCGTAAAAAAGTGGAATAGAGTAAAAGAGATGAAATAGTTTAGATGCGATTTGAATAAGAGAGAGTAAAAAAATTGAATATTTAATAGTATTTTGAGTAGGAGTTAAGTGTTTGTGTTGACTGGGAGTTTAAGTGCTCAATTTTATAGACAAAAATAGTAGTAAAATAACATAGCGATGTAAATAAATTAAGCAAATTAATAAACGGAAGGTCACTTAAGCGTGAACTCCCGTTCAAAGTTTTATTATGTTCGGCTAAACTTGGAATGGGGTTTCCAAAGGGTATATAAACGATTCATTTCCATCCAAGCGATATTTATAATAAATAATCCACTTTGGGGCAATTCCACATTTTGAAATAATTTAAAGTTAAACTAAGTTTAATTAATCTAAGCCATAAATATCGCATAAACAATACCGACGCATACCTCGCTTATATACATACAAATATATTTATTAAAACAGTAAAAGTTAATTAAAAATTATTTCTTACAAAATTTAATTAACTTAAAAATATGAAGATAAAGTAACAGAAAATAAGTCTAAAACTATATATAATATAATATAATACTAAATTTCATTACCAAAAAATTGAATGAGATTTTGAACCGACTTCGTTCGTTCGTGAATATCCGAAATATCATATAACATAACCATTAAATTATCATACTGATAATAAGAAATTAATATATTCATCATAGTTCAGATAAAAGCTGGGGATCATTATAAATAAATACTGTATTCCGACTGATGTGAATAGTATAAAACCAGCTGGACGTATGAAAGTCATTATATTTGGTACATACAAATGTATATGCATATACATACTAATATTTGATACCGGACCACATTATGCTTAAGAAAATATTCCAACTTAATTTTATTAAAATATCCTACACATTGACATACAGATAATTTTTGAAAAAAAAATTTTCACGTATCAGAAGCACTATTTGGGATTTGTTTTATTCCAATATATTTGTTAATGATGTAAACAAAGTCAAAAAATATGAAAGTGATCCAAATGGCGATATATGGAGATTCATTGACGTTTTAAAAATAAAGCTATTGGAAGGTAAACCACGACCTCTTTTCAATACTTTTATAGCTCGATTTGACTGCTTATGCTAACCTTAAGCTTTCTAATTGCATTTAGTCTCTTTATGGTTCTTTCGAAGAAAAGCTGGTGTGGGTGTGGCAATGATCAAATTCCACCAAAGGGCACCACCACCAACTTTCAAAGTACCAAGAAATATTGCTAATGATTATCATTAAGATACCCTATTTTTACTAAAGTTGTACTTTCATGGAAATGCGGACAGCCCACCGGATAGATGGACAGGCAGTCAATTTGTAATCAGTTTCTCCTACCATCCTGATCTCTATGATATATTATATATAACTCTATATATCTATTTCGATTATGTTTAGGTGTTACAAACAGCTGTTAGGAAAGAAAACTCATATATGGTTGCAGAAATAGCAAAAATATTAATAAAATGATATATATAAAAAATTATGTAAAAATGTTTGCATAATAAAAACTGCATAATACATATCTCCTATTAACTTCTAACATAATTTCGCTATATTTAAATGTACTTAAGTATATTTAAAAACATATCTTTGTTATTAACTTAATTACTTTACTTAAATAAAATAATGTTGCAAGAATAAAAAGGACTTGATAAAAGTAGATTAAATTAAAATGCATTCCATAGATTTAGAAAAGTTAAAAATAGATGGAATAAAGTCGAAATGCAGGAAATTAGAAAAACAATGGTATAAATTTGGAAAGTTTGCGAACAATTCTTATTGTATAATTATGTTTTAGAAAACTATTTTATTAGCTAAATTAAATATATTTTTATTAACACACCTCAAATTATAGTATATTTTAAATGAATATTTTTAGTTATTAATTAAATAATATATTTAAATAATCCTGAATAAATTGTTTAAATTAATTAATATCAGATGTGTGTTTAATTAATTTTTTTTATGATTAATAAAAAATTATTTAAAATTAATTATGTATTTAATTAAATGTTAGTTACTTTCAATTAATCTCAATAATTAGTTTTTAACTAATTAAAATTATTTATTTAACTAAATAATTAGTTCTATTTAATTAACAAATTTATTTATTTAATTTTCTAAATAGTTAATTTTACTTAATTTATTAATACATATTAATTTATATTACTAAAATAGAATTAGTAATTATTGTTATAATTTAATAATTCAATTCCTTCATTAACTAGTTCAGTCATTAATTTAATTAAATAATTAATTTGTTTTACTAAATAATTAATTATAATTAATTTTACATCATTGATTAATAATAATTAATTTGTATTGTTAAAATATTATTGATAATTAATTATTATCATTTAATTTATTTAGTTAGTTAGTTGCTTAACCAAAAAATTGAAAACTGAAATTACGAATTTTACTTTGTCTTACAATTTTATTATTGAAACATAAGAATATAGAATGAAAAATGTTTCACAAGAATTTTAGTTTACTTTTATAATTTTTATTTATTGAAACTTTTTTCAACCAAATGGCTTCAAGTAAAATCTCTAAATATTGTTTCTCTAATTTCACCTACTTTTAAATTAAATCATTAATTAATTACCGAATAGTCTGAAGCATACATATAGGTATGAATATAATAATTATTACAATACATACATACATTCCACTTGTACAAGTAAATTTACTTAAAAGTACACATTATTAAAACATGGAATTATATAAAATAGATGGAAAGATATAAGCATAAGTATAGTAAAGATACTAGGCTTTGAGAAGACGCACATTTTTTTGACAGCTGAGGCTTCTAGCACCGATACGGCTGCATGCAGGCATTTCCAATCCGCAATTCACATACATATGTACATACAAGTAAATCACATAACACATCTAGGGGTGTTGGTAAGTAGCAATTTGGGTATAGATGGATCCAACATGACTTGCAAATATCGAGGTTAGGCACATTTAGAGCAGACTAACAGATCTCAACTATTTATTTATATACAATTAATATTCCCTGACAGTATGTATTATAAATATATATACGAGTATATATATCTGTATAAGCGTTTGTCTATCAATATGTACACGCTTGTATTTATGTTATTTAACTTTCAAGAAGCTTTTTATCATTAAATTTTTATGTGTTCACTAATTTTACTATTTCATATATATAAGTAAGTATGTATAGTTTCCTTATCGGTTCTAAAAGCAATAAACATATGTCTTATATCTTCTGAAATTCTTTACAGTTTGCACTAGCGTTATATGGTGTGTATATGTATGTATGTAAGCAAATGATTTACTCAGTTTTGCTCCTTTTAAAAGAGTTATGATGTGACTAGATGTATGAGTATGTGTATTGCTGGATTGTTTGCGGTTGTGTATGTATGTTAAATAATTAATTTAAGACACTTTAGAAATACAAAATTACGGTCGGCAACGAACCTGTGAAGAGAAAATAAAAATCATAAATAATTTTTAAGTATTAAATATCAATTGTTAAATTTTATCAAAAATTTTGTGTTTCTTAATTTTAAGAAGAATATAATTGTATGGTTAACTTTCCAAAACAAAATTTTATAAAACAAGTTTAACTTCATTTTGATCAGACTGCTTGTATAGCAGCTATATGCTATAGTGGTCCAATATCGTCGGTTAAATATACAGCTTATTGGGGAGAAGAGGATGTCAGTAAAAGCGGCGCAAAACTTCCATATAAATTTACTAGTTTCGAACTGTTCCGTCTCTAGTAAATTTAGAACTAGTATTAGTGCCAGCTCTTGTCCACTCTTTTTTAAGTAGCTGACAAATTTAAGTATTGCTTTTTAAAATAACTAATGACCACCTCTGTATGCCCTCTCAATAGTTCCGAAGTAGAACAAGTCAATAAAATATTTGACAATACAAGTAGATAAGAAAAGTAGTTAGTGAGTAGATTTCATTTTTAAATGGGGAGAAGATAACTTAAAACAATATTTTTCAATTAATATTTTGGATTAGCCTGAATAGAAATTGCAATCGCATAATAACTCACCTGTTACGAGTGATATGGCAGCACAGTTTACGAAAGTCTACGTAAGTCCTTGTTAGCAAATTTGCTGACTAACGTAGGTGGCTAATTGTGATTTTTCGACTAAATTTGAAAAGAAAACGGAAAGCAATCTGGCCAAGCGTGAGTGAACTACCATGCTTAAGGTCGTAATCAATATAGAAGGCATGTTCAATCTTACTGACGACATTCGGCACTCAGATCGTCCCTTATTTTTACTATTCAATTCTTTGCGTTTTAAAAAGTATCCATACCTCTGGCAATATTTTTGATAGTTCTTAAGGTATTCGAGTAAAATTTCTTCAGTTTGTGGTACTAGTTTTAAGCGGAAAAAAATATTACAATAATATCAAACTCGGAAAAAGCCTGTTTCCTTTAATTTTGCACAAGAGCTATATATTTAATTATAACACAATTATTTTTATGCAATTAAAGCCCTCGAACAGTAAGTGCTTAATATTAATATGAACGCGACGTGTTTGACGGGACATACATGGCGTATGAGTAACCTCTCCACTAAACTACTTAAGCGTTTCTACCTAAAACTCAGTTACCATAAGCACAGCAAACTTTCAGTCTCTAATGAGTAATAGTCGACTTAGAGATGCAGAAAGCAAACAACGGTAGAAGTGGTATAACCGTAGGGGGAACAACGCTTGCAACGCGAGTGCTAAAACATGTGCTACCAAACCCTACAAGCACGCAGCAAAGCATTGGCATTGACAGTCGAGTGCAGTTTGGCACGCTATATTTGCAAGAAACTTAGTGCTCATTCTGCTCAGCGCACTTTGGCTCACTCTAGGGCCATTCGCCGATGTACTGTCGGAGCATACGCGCTCATTTTATAATTTTAATGGAATTTCCTTTTGTGGGACAAACGAGTGTGTGCGTGAGTTTTTTTGTTGCAAAAAATTTTGACGGACTTTGTGAAAGTCAAAAGAGTGCGCAAAAGTTTCATTTAATATTAAGTTATAGCGTAAGCTTTCCAATTTCATTTAGTTCTTTATTTCTACAACTTGAAAAGTGCATCAATTAAGGGAAATAATTTGGGCGAAAACATAATGACACGCTAGTCTTTGGCAGTTCTTTAATTAGCGCTAAATTGAATGCAAGTGAAATCGTATATTTCTCAAGTTGGTCTTTCTAATGCAACTGAAGGAAGCAGGGAAAGTTTCAAAATTTGGCAATCAAAAGATGCAAAAAAGCTTTAGTCCGACAGGTTGTAGTACACTGTGCTGTAGCAGCTCAAATATGATGCAAACCTTTAATCCTTTGATTGGTATTTTTGCGAGACCGCTAATATTACTTAAACCTAAAATTCCTACAATACAGTTTCAGTTTTTAACCTCACAGCCGCAGTGCTCAATATTTGTGACACTTCGTAACTAGAGAACTATTCCCTACAATACCATACTAAAGAAAGCAGCTTAAGTCAGAGGAAATGTTAGAGCAAGGTTGCACCACAAGTATTGTCTCTTTGGTTGAACAACTGATGGGTTTATTCGATTTGCTAAGCTTATCAAGAACTTTGAGGTTCCGTATTTTGACACTTCTCTTTTATGACCAAATAAGTGGTCCGTTAACCATCACTACATATGTATACATTTGTTTGAGACTCATTTAAATTAACATATTATGCTTCTTCTTGATACAACTTTTATTTCGATAAGATAATGATGCCTTATAATTAGCCTGCCAGGTTCGAGTTGGATCTGTATTTGACACAGATATCGGTTGTACTCAGACTACAGCTTACTTACTTTTACACTTTGAAAATCGATATGTCGATAATTTTGCTTGTATATCAAATGTTCGGGTTGAAGATATGCTTCGAAATTTTGAAGTAAATCTGCCAAGTAGTTTCGAAGATATTAACCCATTTGTAGAAATATTTTAACTCAGTGGCTTTCGGCTTTCAAAACTTTAAACACGTTTTTCTCAACACGTAGTTTTCAGTGTCGGTGAAGAAAATTTCTCCAAAATGGATTGACACTCTTAGATACATAAGTTCGATTTTTAAGCCACTTTGAAGTGTGAATTTCTTCGCAAAAAACGACTTTCTTAGGCAAGCCGCCATTTTGTCAAAAATCATAACTTTGAGTAGTCCTTCGATCGTTACCTGTAATCATCTCTAATATTAATACATTTTTTTTATATTCTGGATTTGAGATAACTTTAAGCAGAACAAAAAAAAACGTTTACTTCGGTTGCACCGAAGCTATAATACCCTTCACAAATACAAAGGTTCCTTACGAGAACTTGATTCCGATCGTTCAATTAGTATGGCAGCTCTATGCTATAGTGATCTGATCTGAACAATTTCTTCGAAGATTTCATTTTTGTTTTAGGAAATAACTCATGTCAAATTTCGTGAAGATATTACGTAAAATAAAAAAGTTTCCCATACAAGAAAGGACATTTGCAAAAATTCAGATCGGTATCTTAAAAACTGTGGGACTAGTTTGTATATATACAGACGGACATGGCTAAATCAACTCAGCATGATAAGCTGATAATTCAAGTATATATTTGATGGGGTCTCCGACGTTTTCTTCTTGGTGCTACAAACTTCGTGACAAACTTCACGAAAAAACTCCTTTTTACTGACTAGTAATTGATTATAACCCCTTAAACGACAAAATCTCTCATAAATGTACCCCTTAAAAATCATTAAAGAGACTGATAATACTCAGCAAGAGACTAAAAAGTCCTAGAGTTAGTTTTAGCTCTCTTATGACATGACAAGAAGCTGCTCCTTTTTCGAAATGGTCTACATCGGACCATTAACGATCGGCATGAAGTCCTTGTATGGAAAACTATTTAATTTGACGAGATATTTATCTTAAATAAGTTTGGCTGGGTTATTGTATAAGGCAATGGTGCAATCTACGAAGAAATTGTTCAGAGCGAGTCACTAAAGCACATAGCTGTCAAACAAACTGACCGATCGCAGTTTTTGTAAGCAATTTTTATATTTGTGAAGCGTGTTATAGCTTCAGTGGAACCGAAGTTAACGTTTTTTCTTGTTTTTTTTCTTTTTATCATAACTTGAAAATTTCTTTTCATCTCTATTTATATTTTCCTTACATTTAAATTTTCATTGAAAGTATCTTTTCACCCCGCCATTTACTTTTACTTTGTAACATTTTCCTCAAATATAGACCAAACTAACAGCATCACAAAATAAAAATATATATTTTTTTATTCATACAAATATATAGTATTTATACCATATACATATATGTACTATATATAAAAGCACCATGTTGACGGATATTTTCGCCTCATTTTTGAGTTGGCCCTCTTTTGTTTGAACTCATTGCGCGCTCTCATGCGTATTGTTGATTTGTGCATCGCTGTACAATTTGTTTTGATTACAAGCTCATGGAGACGAGGAAAAAGTGAAATATGTAAAGAGAAAAATTGAAAATGAATAAACTAAAACAAAATGCTACCCATTCATCGGCACATTATATAAAATGTAAAATATTGCATAAGCGCCAAACCCAAACGTAGCAAGCTGCACTGGTGAAAATGGTGCACTCATTTATATACGAATACACACATATACAAAGTATATAAAATAAAAGTCCCTCGTGATTGCTGAATTTTTTACAATGTGTTACAATGTTCAAGATTGTTTTGTGATTTGAACGCATTGTAAAGGCAAAATTTTCTATGAATCAATGGCTGCCTGTCACATCGCATAATAAACTTTTTTGTAACTCATAAAAGCTTCTTTCAACCTGTTAAAGAGTGTGTAAACTGTGCACTGTGCTCTTTAAAGGGCAAAAAAGATAGTTTGACAATTCTGCTTCTGTTTATTGAATTAAGTCGGGTGTCTATGTTTTCTTGATATAAGAGTTCTCAACTTTGGAGAAAATAATTTTCTTGCAAAGGCAAAACGTGACAATGCACACCCTCTCAATAGTATCTGTCTGCAATTCATATAATTCTTCTGCTCAAATATAAACGAGACTTTATCCATAACTCGACAAGGACATGACATATGGCCATACTTTTTTTTCTTAGGTTAGCAGAACTGTTATATGTTTACATGTCAAATTTGAGCGCGATCTGTCACATAGTTTTACGGCACTATAAAAAAGTCAACCTCGAGTGTGTTTTTCGAATTTTACTATGGAAATTAACGTTGAGCAAAGAGAGTTTGTTTGAAATTTTGTTATTCCAATGGAATAAGTGCGACGGACGTAATGAAAATGTTGCAGAAGGCATATGGGGAGTCTTGCCTATCACGTGCACGTATTTTTGATTGGTATAAGTCGTTCAAGGAGAACTTGCCCCATGATCGTCGTCCAGCAACGTCAATAAACGAAGAAAACGTCGAAAAAGTAAAGAAAACTGTGTTGGAAAATCGTCGTGTGACTGAAAGAGA